GGATTTGGTTTCATTTTTTGGAATCGGTTAAAATCCGGTTACAGAGCCTTTCGAGAAGAGGAACTTGTACAATTTAATAATGTAATTAACTGGCAAATATTTGATCTAAATTACCATCATACAAGTTGTATGTTCGTATTCTAAAATCATTGGGAAAAACGTCCTTTATTTTACGTTCGTTAATATGGTCACCGTACGTATCTTATATACATCGTCGCTGAAATGCAAAAAAGCCACAACTGACTAAAATTTTTTAATGCATAAAACGATGTGGGACTTATAATTCGATGAAATGCATCATAATCAATCAAAAAGTGAATTTCAGAGTTACGCCCTTTCCATAGTACACTAACGATATGTTAGAAAATTTCGTGTGTGAGCGGCATGCACAAAAGAATTCATTGTCAGAACTTTAGTGATATCCGAATGTACTCATGTATGTATGTATGTATATTGAATGATTTCATAATGTGGTGAAATTTTTTTGTGTAATGTAGTTTTTTCTCTAAAATTTACATTCATTAATACAAAAGAAAAATAGCGTGAATTGAAATTGCAAGTGTAAATAATAATAAAAAGTAAGGAAGTTGCGGTCTGCGGCTGTGTCGAAGGCTTTATACATACCCTTCATGAATAATAGAAAGTTTAATATTTTTAATCCGTTGTATTGGGATATACCTATTATACATTATACTGAATTGGTATTGATGATTTTCTCTGTTAACATTTTGTTTATTACATTATGATACCAATATTTATATATTATGATATAGTTTGGTAACAGGAAAATACCTTTTAGAAATAAATATATATAAAGTTATAATACCATTTCATATTCTTGACAGGTATAAAAACAAATATCCGCAAGTAATTATAAAAATAGAACGCTTTTACCTACTACTGCAGCGATTGGCGCAATCATGAATGAGCTGATGACAACACGTCCAAGTCACTAACAATCACCTGCGTATATTTATGCATGTATCTACTACATACATACTTACATACATACATCATACATTGGTGCTTACATACGAACGTAAATTAGGCATTTACATACATATACCATTTATCACTGTAATTGACAATCATTTGATATTTTAAGTACTTGCTTCGGCAGGTGTAGTGCAAGTACATACATATATGTATATACATACATACATACATATATTGATTCCGTAAAAATTCTCTTGCTACCTGTATTGATGCGCATATTTATTAACGAAATTCTACCTCAATGTTCAATCTGCTTGCAGATGTATGTATGTATGTACATTAGGGTGGTCCAGAAATGCATGTGAAAAAGTAAAGTCGGAATTTTTATGCTCTCACCCCTAGGATTGTTCAATACCGAAATTTTTATTTTAAAATTAAAAAATATTTAGAGGTCGCTCAAAGCGCCCAAAGTTTTCCACGTTTTTTTATGGAGAAAAAAACCACATTTCTTAGAAATGGTATAGAATAGCTAAAAATCAATATTTTTCTACCAAAAAACTCTGTTTATCTGCAGGAGATTCCCAGTTGTTTATTTAACCATTTTTTCCTGGCAACTATAATTTATAAGTCCGCCGAAAACCCCGAAAAATGCAATGAGGCGACCAATAAAAAATCGTTAGTATTAAAAACTGGTTAAATATATAATTGGGTATTATTATTGAAGGTCTCCTGAAGAGAAGCATAGTTTTCCGATCGAAAAATATTGATTTTCAAGAATTCTATACCATTTCTATGAAAAGTTGTTTTTTCCCACATATAAAAATACATGGAAAACATTGAGCGCTTAGAGCGACCTCTAAATATTTTTTGATTTCAAAATAATAAAAAACAGGGGTAAATTTTTTTCGATATAGAACAATCTTAGGGGGTGAGAACATTATAATTCCGACTTTACTGTTTTTGGACCACCCTTATGTACATAACAGATTTATAAGAATGTATGTAAGTAAGTTTCTCGATTACATATCTACATTTGAATTATGCCTTATCAATATTCAATAACACGCCGCTACATACCTGTTAGTCTTGGCAACAACACAGCATTTAGTTAGAGCTTTTGGGGAAATCCTTTAGCATTTGCTTTTATCAGCAGTTCCCGAGCTGATAGGCGCTTTCCTCCGTATCTTTACAGTGCAGTTACACGATCAAGAGCTTGGTTTTAAATTGATCAGCTGCGACGCAAGCTGCACGCAACTTGATAGTAAATTTTAGTTTCAAGATGCCATCGTCAAGGAAACCACTTAAAATTTTCGCCTCATTCTTCTTGACAATTTTTTTTAACTTAATTTTGGAGAACAGACTAACTGTGATCAGCTGTTTAATATGAATTTCAAGTTGCCTCACGGCTTGAAAGGAAAAATTAATATCAAGTCGACGTTGCCGCTGTGAAAGTGTGAGTGTGTTAGTAAAAAGTGTGACTGTATTGCAACTTGCTTTCAAGTTCTTGATACCTGTAACCTCCAACCCTGCAGGAAAACCGCGGACTAGTGAATCAAATTTCTAGTTCCGTACGAGGTCTTTATTGCCAAAAAGGAACTAGTCCGATTGGAACTAGATCCCCACCAGTCGAAAATCGGCGAAAAGTGGTACTTTTAAAAGACTATTTTTTTCCGAACTAGTCCTAAATTCTATAGTTCCGAACCAGTTCTAAAATCGACAGACGAAAGAAAAAAGTATCATGATTTTTCAATCTTTTTGGTTCTTCCGTGTGTGCGATTTTAAGTCATTTTTGAAGAAATGTGATTTCAATTTGAAATTAACTTTGTTTGAATGATTGTAAGAAATGTACGTTTACATACCTTTAGATGTAAGCTGAGTTTGCAGACGTGCTCGCTGTTATTTCTTACATTCCAGACGGTCCCAAGATGTTGAAATGTTAACACAAATTTTAGTTTTGTATTACCAAGCTATGAAAAAGCATCTGCGAAGCGCAGAATAGAAGCGTATTTGAACGAAAAAGCCGCCGAACACATACCTATGCAAAGTAAACCAGCCCCCCGCTGCATCCCTTTTTCGATAGTTCCGAACTTGTTCTAAATTCGACAAATAAGATCTAGTTCGTTCTGCATCCCTTTTTCTATAGTTCCGAACCATTTCTAAATTCGTCACTTTAGATATAATAGATTTCTAGTCAAAAAAACTGAAAAAATAGTCTTTTAAAAGTACCACTTTTCGCCGATTTTCGCCTAGTGGGGATCTAGTTCCTATCGGACTAGTTCCTTTTCGGCGATAAAGACCTAGTACGGAACTAGAAATTTGATTCACTAGTCCGAGGTTTCCCTACAGGGTATCTATATTTTAATCGATTTTGTTAATGATTTTTTATAGATTTTATAATCGATTTCGTTATCTATATTTTTATTGATTTTGTTATCGACATTATTATCGATTTTGTTGGCGATATTTTTATCGACTTTGTTATAGATTTTTTTACCGATTTTGTTATTGATTTTGCAATCGATATTTTCGGAACCTATCGATATAATAAACGATATTATTTATCGTTTTTTTATCGATATTTTAATCGATTTTGTTATCGATATTTTTATCGATTTTGCTATCTATATTTCTACTGGTTTTGTTATCGATATTTGTACCGACTTTGTTATCGATTCTGCTATCGATATTATCATCGAATTTGTTATTGATGTTCTTATCGATTTTGCTATCGAAATTATTTATTATCGCTTTTGTTATCGATATTTTTTTCTTAGTGTCTGCTTTCGTTGTTGACTTGGATGTGCTCTTAACCATATCACTAATTCTACGTTTAAATTTAGCGGCTGTTTCTCCGATATAGCCTGCAGACCAAGACGAAGGCGCTGGACTGTTCCTTTTTAGCTGAACTCCTCGATTGAGTGAACACCAATTTATTTCATTGAGTATCCTGTAGGGTGAACTTATAGATACTTTTGTACTCTCTCACGAAGAGAAAGATCTGAAGGGAGATTCATTGTTAATTCAATAGTTCTGAACATTTCGTGTTGCCATTGATAACTTACAGCGTTGCCAATGTTAATGAAATTAAATTCCTTAGCCAAGCGGTGAGCAGTTTGCTTTCTGTATACGCATCGATAACTCTCACCACACATTTTGGGACATGTCACAACGTCAAAAATTAAACATTTGAATTTAGGAAGTCAGTTCCGATAGTACCACCATCGATAGTTAAAAAAAAACCATCGATAGTCGATAGGTATCGATTTTTTCGGTTTATAGCCTGATTTTGGCAACTTAGCTTAACTTAACGTAACTTAGAACTTAAAGAATCAAAATGATACAGACTTCGACGTGGCATTAAGTTACGTTAAGATTCGGCTGTTCAGATAGTATAAGCAACATCCATGTAAGAGAATTTTTAAAGGATAGCCTCTAAGTTACGGAATGACGATATGAGTACTACTCACATGAGTAGGTATCGATACTTTGATGATCTCGGAAAGTCCCAGGAAGAGGAAAATTTTTACATTTCTAAAGCAAATTATTAACCTTCAACCTTTTTCTTTTCTATTTCCAGCGTTTGTCGTACAAGTCTTGTGCAGATAGAACAATGAAATTTCTGTTGTGCAGAGTTTCTCCGGCCAGAGCAGACACACTGATTCATACCAACATCAAAGTCAGTGGTGGTTTGACGTTAACAGTCAGGTATTACATACTTACATATTCATGTCTGTCTGCCTGTCTAGCTGCATTATGTCTGGGCACTTACTGTGTACTATGTACTATACATGCTTTCACACATGCATATGGATTTACCTCCATACATACATATGTACATATTTATATATGTACGATCGCTTGATGCATATAATCGTATCTACGAATATGAGAGAGATTCGAGGAGTACCTATTGATGTTACCAAGCTGAAAACTTCTCCGCCAGCCATCACAGTACTATATATACATACATACATACATACATATAGTATGAGCATATCGCCTATAGTCGGGTAACAGCGGATAATAATTGCTCGAAACTGTGGTGGTCAGGCGAACCGCACGAACCGGGAACAACAGTCTAATCATCATCGTTGATCGTTAAAGAACGTGAAACGCGTATAGAAAATCCGAAAAATCAAGTAAGAGATATCGTCTATTAAACGTACAAATCGATGTCAAAAATCGTCTGCGAGAAAATTCGGTTTGCATGCATTCATTTGTGCTAAAAATAAAAGTAGAAAGCAGTATACTAAATACAGAGTATTGAATATATGTACGATCCATCCAGCGAGATCAGTCAACCAAATCTGAATTGAAATAAGCGAAAATCTGAAGTACAGTAAAAATTCCAAAAACACAAACAAAAAATCATCCTGTAAACTGTGACTTGTGTACTGTAATTTCATCTCGCATACAGAGAGATAATATACAATAACACTAATAAAAGGTTTAAACTGTAGAAACAGCTGTTAAATATTAAAAAAAAAAATATCCAAAAATACAAAAGAAACAGTGTTCGAAGTGAACAAAAGTTAATCGTGTTAATTAAATTTGCAATTGCGATCGCATCAACGAAACCAGAGTACAGTTTTAGTTGAAGCAAACGAGAGTTAAAAGTAACAACGAACAAATCATCAAAGTAGTTATAGCTGGAACGTAACGCGGAAATTTTACTGAAAATTTTTGCATTTTCCAATGTAGCCGTTTGGGGAATTTTAACACGAACGTGGCCGTTTTGGATGTTTCGTGTTAATTACTTACTTAGTAAATTTCATCGATAGCGGTAAATGAATGTAAATACATACATATTTGAATATTTTCACTTTGCTCTCGTATTCGATCTGAAAGAGTGAACATTTTCGCACTACCATCTACATACTACCTACAGCACATTAAAATATTTCCGTATACAACATTTTTGGCTCACTTTGCCTACAAGCGCACACGCTAGTCACACCAGCAAATCACTTTAAAAAAAAAACGATAAGTCACGAGAGTTTGGAATTTTTGGTAAGTAGCACATTTGTTTATAAATACCTACAAAAAACATTTCTATGGTTGCTAAGCTGACATTGGAAAAAAATTTATTTGCAAATAAAAATAAGTTGAAGACTCTAGTACATATATACATATTAAAGGTGGGCGTGGGACTAAATATTCCCGCTATCTAACACTAAGTAAAATTCGTATTCATTTCAATTTAATTTTAAATAATATGTACATACGTATGTATATCGTCACCTTTATGCCAAAAGCATGAATGTGAAAATTTATCAGTTTTGAGTTATTGGATGTTGACTTGATCAACCTTTGGATAGAACATGTTATAACAAAGCCCAGAATACCCTGCGTACAGTGTTGCCAAATTTTTTTTCCAGCTATACGGGACAAATGCATAATTTGTCCCAAAAATACGGGATTTACAAAAATTTAACGGGACAAATGAGAAATAAAGGATTTGTTTGAAAAGTCCAACTACGAATCATATATTAACAAAGGTCATCTATTTCCACGAAGTAATGCTCAGACTAGTTATAAGCTTATGATAAATTTCGTTTATTTCATGGAAATACATTTTAATTTATACAAAAATATGTATGTATGTACGTAAACATATAATTGACAAAACCATATAAACAAAGTAAGAGATACTGCTGTTAATAATTTTCATTTAAAATATGGGTCCATCTATATCAGATACCACATAAATAAAAGTTTCAAAGCTTGCAAAAAGTTCACAAAAATTAATGAAACTTAAAAAAAATTTTGATATTTTTAATTAGCTATCCTAGAAAGATTTCGATTATGTGGGTTAAAGCCCATTCAATTTCAGTACAATAAAGTTTCAAGTCGCTAAAAATTACAATTGATTTTTAGGTTTTTTTGTGGAGGCTGTTGCGCATTTTCTTCCATATAAAAGTCGGTTTTGTTCATGCATTATGTGGAAAAAAATTTGCAACACCCTCCCCAAAAAAAATTCTAAAAACTTAACGGTAATTTTTAGCTTTATTTCTCTTACAGAGTTGCATGCAATAATGCTTGCTAATGACCTACTCACAATAGCCGCGTTAAACCATGATCATGTTGAGTGAAGTTTATAGGTTGACAAGAATAATGAAATTGTCGAAAATAAGGGCAAAATCTTGTCCCGGCGGAACATTTCAAATTTAACGAAAAATTTGGGACATTTGGAAACGCTACTGCCATATTTTACAGTTCCAATTGCATAAATGTAGAGTTGAGTCTCGTAGAAACAAACAGACTCCCAAAATAAAAGTCTTTGAAGACTTAAAAATATTCATATCGCTGATAATTATTATGAAAAGACTTCTATTATATAAGTCTTAAAATAATAGTTATCGATGACTTAAAAAATATTTTCTCACACTTAATTATTATCCAAAACCTTTATAATTCTTACGAAAATTTTGATGACTTTTTTTAAAACTCCAGCATGAAATAATTGTTATTCTGGGTCTCTGGTATAAACTCTTCAAGGCACTGGTTGTGCACTATCCTGTGGCATTCAAACTATACAAGTGCTCAGATCTCTACCGCCAGTAATATCCGCCTCGCCCCACTCAGTGTTATACAGTAAAACCCAAAAGAGAGAAATTTTAGCAAAAGTACGCGAACGCAAAATTAGCAAAAACTTGCAAGTTTTTAGTACAGCTGATCGAAATTTTGTTTACATGCAAAAGCATAAAACAGAAAACATGAAAAGAATATAAATTAAAAGTTTTCCAAAAGCAATTTGCTAATCAAACATGCGTAAATGAGTACTTGCTTTCTTGCGATACATTTGCAGTTCTACTAAGTTATTTCAAACTTAAAAATCATAATAAATCTAAAATAATTTTCCATATTTTCATAAATTGAAAACAGATGACCTTGATCGGCTGTTTTTCTTGGTGGCAAATGGCTGCTGGCTAAAATTTTTCACTGTACCAACATTCGTTTCTTTTTAGTCTGCAGGTGACCTTTAAGGCTTCTCCACGTAGGAAGACACAAAATGCCGGTAAGTGAAGCAGTGCGTCAAGAACACTATACACTAGTCAAAAAAATTAAGGGAGGTTTTAAAAATAGGAAACTAAAGGTAAATAAAGAGGCTATCCGATCTATATGCCGGCCTAAATGAACAAATTTTTTTCAATCCCGTGGACCAAAAAATTCGCAAAAATATTTTTTTTCGCGCTAAATGCCAGGATTACATCAAAATCCTAAAAATTTTTAGCCAAAGAAAATTAGAATCTACCAGGTTCACAGGCTCCCGTGGACTCCTGGAGGTCCACCTGGACCACTTTGGGAAACACTGGTCTACGGAAAATAGGAAAAGTAATTACAGCAGAGAAAAAGAACACGCCACCTTTGGGCTAGGTCGATTCTGTTTCGAAGGTACTGGTACGTTTGAATTACATTATTGTTGTTAGGGTTTTTTTTTTATAAAGAGTTTCCGGCGGCACTTTATTTCCTGAATAGTGGAATATCTGAGAAATTCGAATACGAAGAATAACAAAGTCCAGAACTCTATAGCAGCAGTGGTTACCTTTTTTCGAGTACCTTCTTCAAACAAAGTGGACCAAGCGGGTGAGCTGTATGAAAATGCAACAAGCAGATAACTACTGCTAACAGTATGTGTGGCTTCATACAGTGTAACTGCATTATTATGAAATCTGCAGTATAATGTTTTCTCAGCGTGCAACATCGGAGATGTCTCCCTTTGAGTTCGCTCAAGCTAAGGTTAATAAACAGTTTAAACGCGGCCTGTACAATAGTACGAGTATATGAAGTCACACACTAAGTACAAAGAATGCATGTATGTATGTATGTATGTATCTACTACATGCTTAAACTTCATTAAAAGTTACTAGGAGTTTTATTTACATGTAAACTGTTTAAATTGACGATTGACACTTAGATATCTCTATGAGACTCGAGTAGTCTGTGACAAATTGCAGACAAATACAATTATTGGCTTGTGAAGCCAGACTTTGGAACCCATCAACTTCAATTGCTTGTATATATGTGTACATATATTATATTCATTCTTCGTCGCATTTTTACATGCATAAATAAGTATGTATTAACAAAGTATGTATAGTGCATGATCTCTTCTTTTATAATTTGATGATTTTGATGTCCAAATCGCATGTGACCATTGTGTCTCAGGCGAAGTTAATACCCTTACTGAATGCAGATGCCTTAATTTGTTAAATTGGTCGCTTAATTGAGTTGATCAATACATTGAAGTAGATGTTGGTAAACATACATACATTTTTACATTCTTATATATATTTGTTTATACATATGTATGTATGGACACTTGCTCGATACATGTAGGTACATCTGCTTTGGTCGAGATTATTAATTCAAGTTGTTTATTTTTTAAATGTTTGCGCTGCCATGAACTGTTTGTTGATAATATCCTAACGGGATGCACTAGTGTACATACGTATGTATGTACATTAAAAAACACGTTTTTTGTTGTTCAAAAAATTGCTGCGAAAAAAATTTATTGTGAAATTTTATTACTAAAGTTGAAGACTTAATTTGCATAGATCTACTTTTTGACGATATACTATATGTATGTATGTACATTAGAGTGGAAAGAAATAAATTTCGAGAGTTAGGGTTAGGGGCACCTTTCAAAAGCTTTCCTCTTGTCGAGAGGTGCCTTTACGTTTCTAAGTATGCTGTTACAGTCGTTTTATTAACATCTTCAAATAAGTGTAAAAAAAACCACTGTGGGAGGAGTTAAAGGGTTAAAAATTCCTACGAATTTTTCACTTGATTTTACCAAAGATCTCTGAAGGCAAGATTTCGAGTTATTTATTATTTCTTAATTTGAACTCACATACATTTATAACGGCGTATGAGTTTTTCATCTTCGGTGACCCCTAATAATAAAATTTCTAAAAATTTGTCTAGAAAATTTTAACCCTGCATATGCTATGAATTAATGAACTTGCGCGTCCTTAAAAATAAGGTTCCAAAGGACACCTTATGGTATGAGATTAAGAGTTTTAAAGAATTTGAAGAACTTTGTTTATACTAAGTATGGCTACGTCACAAAATGGAAAACTTCGAACAGTGGCTCTATTGGAAAATGTTATAAAAAATAAGCAGATCTAGTTATCTGTGGTTGCATATGTATGTCACTGAAAAGGGAATTTATAGATGTTAGCAACGGTATATACATAATTTACCATCGGCCCTATGCTGAATATCGTCATCGTCAGTAAAAGATCGTTCCACAGACTGAATATATGGTCGCATAGAACCAGGATTTATTTTCTTGAATAACGGATTAAATAAATTAGCGCCTTTTAAGACCTCTACAATTCTCGTATCAAACATATTGCGTTTTTCGACCCGTCCTAATGTACATACATATGTATGTATGCAGACCTCGGAGAAAATTTTAAGTTGGTGCTAAGTAGATTTTTTCATAAAAATACTGTTGTTTAGTTTTTATCTTATCACATATGAACCTGCTTATCAGTTCTTAGAGTTTAATACCCGAGTGGTTAGTCAAATAAATCTTTCTATTTTTTGTACATCCATAAGATTGATTTGTTTAATGTCTTTCATTGAAGTGGTTGTCTGAGAGGCTTCTTAACGATGTCACGATAATTTTGCTAAAAAATGGTCATACATACATTTCCTATATGCAGCAACCGCACTTAAATATGTGGCCCTATGCCCAATATCAGGGGTATTCACGATCTGGTGCATACTGTCTAACATGGTACATGAATTTTTACATAAGTAACACAAAAAAGGCTGACTGCCTTTTCTTCATACTTTAATCACAAACAGTTGCTTATGCGCTGTTCTTTGGTTTATGTCATTCTTTCAGCAAACGAGCGAAATATACTTAATCTAATGTACTTAATCTAATATAAAGAAAACATTCAAATACATATGCTAATATTTTACTTTTGAAATACGTAAGAGATCTAAAAAATTAGGAAAACAAATCTCTTAGCGATGCTTACGCAGATGCATTT